TGAGTCCAAAGGGGCAACATACTACTGTTATTTCCTTAAACGAACATGTTGTCAAACTGCCTTCTAAATATTTATGTTTACACCTGTAAACTAGTGCTCCTCTCAACCTGGGGCCAAGAAGCTCCTTTTTCAGAGGGCGAGTTAATGTAGAGACTGATATCTGATCAAGGCCTGAGAAGTGACTGATGAACACTCAGCCTTAAGTGGGTCATGTGTATCTATCCTCTTCCCCACAAGGTTTTGGGACTATCACAGAAGAGAGGGCAAAAAGGATTCAAGAGCTGGAAGACAGGGAGGACTGTCATGAAACACTGCCATTCAGATATGATCTTGCCTTTGCAACCATGAACACACATCACAGGGGGCAGGTTTTGAGAGTTCTTAAGCCTTGTAGGTCTCCTCCTCTGCTCCCCATGTGCCTGCTTGAAGATGTGAGTGCTCTGCTTTCTGCTCTGGCCACCTTCTGCCTTTGTGCCTCCACACCATGACGGACTCTAATCCTTTGGGAAGCATAAGCTCAAACTATTCCAAGTTTCTTAGTCACGATGTTTTATTACCGCAATAGAAAAGTAACTAACACAATAATGGATGGTGAATGCAACCATAATACATTTAATGTATGTATGAGATGATCAGAAATAAAGACAAAAAAAAATTTTGTAGGAAAATGGATGGGATAGGAAAACGTTTTAAGTGAGTCAACTCAGGCTCAGAGCAACAAACACCTATGATCTCTCATGTTCAGATCCTCACCTCTGTCAACTATGCATATCCAGGTGGGAGTAAATATGCTTAAAGGCTAGGAAGCTGGAAAGAGGTCTACATGACTGGAAAAAAAGGAGTGGGGTGGGGAAGTCAGTAGAGCAAAGTGGAAAGAAGGAATGAGGGTGTATAAGGGTACGGCCAAGAAGGGGGGCAGGGAAGTGAGGGGGAAGTGTTGGGGTAGGAATCAACCAAATCTGAGGGTCCTTATTGACTTCAGTGACCACCTTCTGAATAGGCATGATTACCAGTTCTTTCAGCACAATATATTCCAATTAGCTACCACTGTCATTAGAAGCTTTACATTTACCTTCTTTTTAACATTTAAGCTCCTAATGTGTATGTCTTATACAGCTTTTTTATTTTTTAGGTTCGACCACAGTGTTCTCTATGCCTAGCCTGGATCATCACTAATTGTAGTAGGTTCACAGTAAATGCTTATCACTTGCTAGAGTCTCTCAAGTCCATACATTAGTTCAGTAAGGTAAATTTGAACAATAGCTCTAATAAAACCTGTGTTGAAACATTAAGATTTTAGATGACCAGAAAAGCTTCATTTTTATCATATTATTTAATATGGATAAAACTCATGGTAATGAAGTGTCTCTGGAAAATTGCATCCTTTTCTTTCAATGACATTGGATGTTTGCATGATATATACATCAGTAGTCGAAGTTTTAAATTAATTTATTTTTATTTTGTGTGCATGAGTGTTATGCCTGCATGTGTGTATGTGCACCCATGTTGTGCAATGCCCGTGGAAGACAGACAGGGGAGTCAGAGTCTTTGAAACTGGAGTTATGGATGGTTGTTAACTGCTATGTGGGTGCTGGGATTTGAACCCAGGTCTCCAGCTCCAGTAGTTGAAGTCTTTTTTTATAAAATTATTCATTCAACAATCACATACTTAGAAGAAGCATTTCATTACATCAGCATTGACATATTCAATAACAATTTTCTGAGCTAGGATGCATCTCTTACAAAATTGACTATACATTTTTAGGTTTACTGTTGAATTATTACAGTTATCCAATATTGTACTCAGTATAAACCCTATGAGACAAAATTAAATGAGGTTTTAACCTTTAAAAAAGATCTCCATTTCATTATTAAAATACAGAGTTTTATACAGAAAATTTCATTTTTCATGCAATTGATATTAAGATGTTTGCACATGCCTTTCTAATCTCTATCTCTATATATCAGATTATTACTAGTCACAGTCGATTACTTTTTGAGCTCCTTGGCATCTGAGTGTAGATATAAAGTCATCAGGTAGATTTAAAAGGTAATGTTTTTCACATCTACTAATTATTACGGAGTAAATTTTTAAGTTTTGAGGAATTAT